ATCTCGGAGCAATCATATTCAAGCTTCAGGACTCCAGGAAGTCTGGAGTCTATGGAAATCTGAGATCCTGGTCTACATTTCCCCGCTTTCCATCAAGATTCTCCCGGAGGATCTTGGATCAAAGTACTCAATAACGGAAGCCAAGCACCAGCCAGTTCTAGCCTCACGGCAAAGGAGGCGGCTGTTGGGGAGGCAAGAAGCCACACGTTCCCTATCCTCCTCCATTCCTGACCCTCCTGCTTCCTCTGCTCTTCCAGGAGAATGGAGACAAATTACGGTGTCCTGGGTGGCCACTCGCAAGATTTTCAGACCCCAGGAGCTAGGCTCAGAAGCAGGAGGTAGGATAGGGGCACTAAACATGTTATCAGACCAACTAGCTGCGATGTCCTGTGAAACCACGATGATAATCTTCATTAGGTTTTTAACTGTGATTGTCAATCTCATTTTCTGGTTTAATTTTCTTTCCAGTCCCATTTTCTGGCTTTCTCGTCTTTCTGCAACCAGCCTTGGCCAAAGTATGGCAGTCCGATCGCGTTCACCAGGGGAGACCCACCCTTTCTGTGTAGACCCGAGGTCTGTCTTTCCTTCTCTGGCCCTTCAGGAGGGGCCTGTTTCCTAAGTCCACCTGGTCCCCAGTCAGCCAAGTGAGGGACTCCTGCCCCGGGTCATTCGGGTGCACACTGAGTCTTCAGCTCCAGAGGTTGCACAAGACACCACAGTCTCCGTGGCTTAGGAGAACAGAAAGGTCCTGTCACACAGTCTGGGAGGCCAAAGGCACAAGTTCAGGGTGTAGCAGGCCATGCGCTCGCCAAAGAGTCTCTCGGCTTCCGGTAGCCTGGGGCACCCTTTAGTTTGAAGTTGCAACATGACTCTGTCATGAAGGTGTCTCCTTCCTTTTGTCTGTCTGTCTGTGTCTGCCAGTCTGTCTTTTTACCTTTTTTCATACTATGTCACTCCAGTCAGATCAGGACACACTCTCCTCCAACTTGGCCTTGTGTTAACTGATACCTTCTTCAAGGCTCATTTCCAAACAAGGTCATGTTCACAGTTATCACAGGGGTTTGGGCTTTAGCATATCTCTCTGAGGGGGTGCAACTTAACCCATACCTTACTGTAAGCCACCTTTTCTTCGGCATTACAGTTTTCTGACCGATGCTCATAGTTTCTTTTGTTCTTTTAATTACTAACTTCTACCTTCTTTTTTTATTAAAACATTTTAAAAATCATTTTATCGGGGGTTTATACAGCTCCTATCACAATCCATACATATATACACCCATTGAGTTGAGCACATTTATACATATGTTGCCATCATCATTCTCAAAACATTTTCTTTCTATTTGAGTCCTTGGTATCAGCTCATTTTTCCCCTCCCTCCCCCATCCTCCCTCCCCTCACGAATCCTTGATAATTTATAAATTATTATTTTTTCATGTCTTAACCTGACTGATGTCTCCCTTCACCCACTTTTCTGTTGTCCGTCCCCCTGGGAAGGGGTTATAGGTAGGTCATTGTGATCGGTTCCCCCTGTCTCCCCGCACCTTCCCCTTCCCCTTCTGGTATCACTACTCTCCTTATTGGGGTCCTGAGGGGTTATCTGTCCTGGATTCCCTGTGTTTCCAGCTCTTATCTGTACCCGTGTACTCGCTCTGGTCTAGCCAGATTGGTAAGGTAGAACTGGGGTCATGATAGTGGAGGGGAGGAGGCATTAAAGAACTAAAGGGAAGTTGTATGTTTCATCGGTTCTATACTGCACCCTGACTGCTTTGTCTCTTCCTGTGACCCTTCTGTAAGGGGGTGTCCAATTATCTACAGATGGGCTTTGGGTCTCCACTCTGCACTCCCTCATTCACACTGATATAATTTTTTGTTCTGGGTCTTTGATGCCTGATACCTGATCCCATTGACACTTCATGATCACACAGACTGGTGTGCTTCTTCCATGTGGACTTTGTTGCTTCTCAGCTAGATGGCCGCTTGTTTATCTTCAAGCCTTTAAGCCCCCGGAGAACGGCTGAGTGCTTTAACCACCATCTCCCCAGCCCTCCTTCCCAGCGCACAGTCCCAGCAATAAAGCCATCATAACTACAGCCCATGGTCCCACTTTACATCTGAATCAAGACTAGCCTCTGCCAAGTTTATCGCGACTCTGAATCCACAATCATTTTGAAAAGTGAGTTATCTTCAATTGGCTCCATGTTGTTGTTCTCATAAGATGCATAACTCAAAGAGTTTTGAATTTTAATGATCACTGGGCCGCTAACTGCAAGGTCAGCAGTTCGAAACTACCAGCTGCTCCTCGGGAGAGAGACGGGAGGGCCTTCTACTCCCGTAAGGAGTTACCGTCTCAGAAACCCATAGGGGAAGTTCTACCCTGCCCTATAGGATGGCTATGAGTTGGCATTGACTCGATGGCAGTGGCTGGTCTGGAGGGTTGTTGGTGATATTGTTAGAGTTCATTAGTTTCAAGAGGTTGAGGAATCGAAGGCAGAAACCCAGTGTGACATGAGAGGGCCTCAGATTAGTTTCGTTTCCTCTTCTAGCTGTGAAGAGGAGTCCAACACACACCACAATGCTGAACAGGGATGAGCACCTTCTCCCTGACTCCTATGGGAATGGACTTGGAATTATCTTCATCCTCCCAGTTACTCACACGAAAGTCCTCTCTCTCACGCCCTCACCCCAGCGCCCGATTCTCACTACCCGATTTCAGGCCAGAAGTCTCTGAGCAGCACAGTTGGTTAAGTGTTCAACTACTAATGGATAGGATGGTACTTCTCACCCACCCAGAGGCACTTGGAAGAAAAGCCTGGCGATCCACTCCCCAAGACCAATGGCCTGGAGAGCCCAGTTCTCCTCTGCACCCTTGAGGCTACAAAGAGCTGGGGTCACCTCCCCAGCAACTGGCAGAGGGCTTCGCTTTCCTTGTTTCTCCGTCTCCTTTCCTTCCTCTCCCCCCATCTTTCTGGGCTTTCGGCCACCTACCAGGTCCTTGGACAAATTTCTATCACTGTGTCTATTTGTTTGATCTGCACTTCAAAGAATCAGGATGAGTCCGTGACAGGCAATGAAACGAAACCAATTTGACCACATTTGTGATAGATTATGGACCATCATTCTGAAATGCCCAGTGTTGAGTTGGACCTCAAGTTACAGAAACACATTTGACCGTAAAAAAAAAAAAGCCAAAAAAAAGCTAAGGCTCTGTAACAAGAACACCCTTGGGAAAAAAAATAGAGCCAAATTCTGAGATGGCATATAATTATATACTAGTTACCAGCTTCTGAAATAGCATGGGATATGCCAAATAGATGTTTATTTCCTCTTGTTTTCTCTAAAGGGTCCCACCCAACCACTGAGCCAAGTAGCATCAAAATAGCTCAGGGTGGGTTGAACTAGCCTCTCCGGCTGCTAGCCCACAGACCTGGAGAGGCACTGCTAATTTCCTGCATTCCAACCTGATTCCAGGGGACTGGGGACCGAGCAGGAGTCATTTATGTCTGAGGTTTGTAAGGTGCAGTTTGAGCCAGGTCTTCAAAGACGAGGCAAACCCAGAAAGGACAATGTGGCAAACGGACAGGACTGGGGAACCCTCTGCTCACCAGGCCCTCCGGGCTGTGCACACTCTGAGAGGGTCATCCAGTCACCTCTGTCGGACCGGGTAGAATGGCTGTGGTGGGTTTCTGAGACCGAATCTCTTTAAGGAGCAGGAAGCCTCGTCGTTCTTCCGTGGCATGGCTGGTGGTTTCAAATGGTTAGGGCTCCTTGGGGAAACCTCAGGACACCCCCCACCACCCCAGGTCACTAGATGGCTTTTCAGGGTGCCTGCTCAGAGACGATGTCAAACAAGTCTTGCGAAGCACAAGCCGAGCTGGGTGGCAGAGGCATCTTGGGGAGAGGCAGCGGGGCTCCTGACTGACCACTTCAGATGTTTTTCTGTCTTTTGTGTTTTACTGGCATTCCTTCCACTTTATGGTCTCCTCATATGTGGCTTGGCAGGTGGCAGGAGGAAATTGCTGATTCCAGTCCCAGCCCCACGGCTAAGCTGCCTTAGACAGGTGAAATTGGGTTACCTAGGTGACCCGGGAGGCTCGGCTATAGCTGAAATTGCTAAGGAGGAAGAGAGCAACCGGGTCAGGCAAGTGTGTGTTTTCCCTAGGTAGGGGAAACTTCAGCCGAGGCTGGGGACATGCCTCTTGATTGATTGAGGGTTGACCTCCTCCAGCCAGCGGAATGAGTGACACTCTACCTGCGTCCAGTCCCACCACCCTGTTAGGTGAGTCTGTCCTGGGCCAGCTCAGCAGCATTACATCACTGATCCTCAGTCGTTCCCCGCCCCCACGTTTTGTTTTTTGTGTGTCCACACACTGTTACTAGGATGACAAGTCCTTAGTCTCTTGTAGACCAAGCAACTCGCTTTTCTTCAGGCTGGCCATGGGGTTATAAAACCAGCAGGCCAACCAGGTTTAACTCCTGAATGCCTCCTCTCTAGGCGGCTGGTTTGTGACATTGAAACCCGCACATCATTTGTCCACAGAGTATTGTGCGCAGTACTTTACCAATGTAATCTCATTCCAAGTACCCCGACTGGCACAGGGGTTAAGCGCTCAGCTGCTGACCGACAAAGCTCGACCGCTGGAACCCCCAGCCGCTCTGTGGGAGAAGGATGGGCCAATGGTTCCGCTTCCTTAAAGATGGCCAGCCCAGAAGCCCCGTGGGGCAGCTCTTCTCTGCCCTGAAGACTCGCTAGGAGTCCGAATCTACTCCCTGGTGACTGGGTTCCTTCTTAGCTTTCAGTCTCAATTCATCTGCACGACCATACAATGAGGTGGGCACTCCTCAAGGCTCAGCCAGCTGAAGTGGCCTTCTTGTCATGGTCACACAGCTTGAACGTGGCGGGTTAACGTGACAACTGCCCATCCCACCCTGAGTGTGCATTCTGCGTGCTCTCCGCACACGGGGGCACGAAGGGGGAGAGCATTCCTGCTTCCTGCCGTTACCTGATAGTCGGAGTCCGCCTTATGCTGCATGTCCCGCAGGTACTGAGCTTCGCTGATGAATTTCTGCCTTTCCCCGGCTTCGTGCATCGTGATTCTCAATCCCCAACCTGTATGCACAAGACACACAAACGGGTTGTGATAGAAACCTTGGTTGCCATCTTTGGGCTTGCTTGCCCCACCCCTCATGCATCTAGGTTCTAGTGTCCGAAGGACCCAGATGTTCCTCGCAGATTGCGGGTAGCCTCGGGTGGGGGCGGATGCCCTTCCAGCCCTCCTGTTCCAAGCATCAATAATGTTGCCACACTCCTCAGGTGGCTTCAGCGATCCTATCCTGCTTAATCTCAGGGAGCTAGGTTCACAGATACCTGATGCAGCAGCACTTCTACAGGGTGCTGAGCAAGAAAACCCACGAGCCCAGCTAAATTAGCAATGACCAACGTCAGAAGCCCTGGGTTACACTTCAATTCATTTATTCAACAATGACTGCGTCCCAATTCCAACATCGGCACTGTGTTAGGTACCGGGGCGTGGCAGTCAGCCAGCCAGACACGGCCCTGGCCCTTGTGGTGCTTACAACCAAGGGTGGAAGACCCTGGATCCGTGACCCCTCACTGTGACCATTGGGATGGAGCAGGAGCACAGTGGTCTTCGCTGGGGTGTTGTTCTGGGAGGGCCTAACCTGGTCTGGAAGGGCCAGGCGAAGCTCCTTGGGAGACCACACTGGGTTTGCTAACGAGTGGTGAGGCAATCCATCTTGGTGAAGAGGATGGACCAGGACAGCAGGTGGAGAGGCCACGGGGCAGCAAAGAGCTGGTGCCAAGGAGGAACCACAGGCTGGCACAGTTGGAGCAGAGAAAGCGTGGAGATCAGCGCCAGAGGGCTGCAGGATGGGCAGGAGCCATGGGAAGGCACCGAAAGGTTCCAGTTTGTGGATTAAATGCTCGCTCACTCACCTCACTCTCACACTGCCAGTGAGTTGATACTGACCCTAGCGACCCTCCCTGACAGGGTAGGGCTGCCCCTGTGGGTTTCTGAGACTGTCACTGTTGACAGGAGTAGAAGGCCTCACCTTCCTCCCAAATGATTCTTTTTTTTTTTAAATCATTTTATTCGGGCCTCATACAATTCTTATCACAATCCACACACACATCAATTGCGTAAAGCGCATTTGTACATTCATTGCCCTCATCATTCTCAAAACATTTCCTCTCCACTTAAGCCCCCGGCATTAGGTCCTCATTTTTCCCCTCCCTCCCCGCTCCCCCCTCCCTCATAAGCCCTTGATAGTTTATAAATTGGTATTTTGTCATATCTTGCCCTGTCCGATGTCTCCCTTCACCAACTTTTCGGTTGTCTGTCCCCCAGGGAGCAGGTCACATATAGTTCCTTGTAATCGGTTCCCTCTTTCCTACCCATTCTCCCTTTACCCTCCCTGTTTTGCCACTCACACCACTGGTCCTGTAGGGCTCATCCGCCCTGGATTCCCTGTATTTTCAGTTCCTATCTGTACCAGTGTACATCCTCTGGTCTAGCCAGACTTGCAAGGCCGAATTCGAGTCATGGTAGTGGGAGCGGGGAGGAAACATTTTACTAGGTTCCTCTGGCTGCTATCATGGAGAGTGGGTGAGGAGAAGTGGAAAGCCCACCAGGAATATAATAGAATAATCCAGACGATAGAAAACAGTGCCCACCCTTGAGGAGGGATAGTAGAGAAATGATGAAAGGGAGAAAGAAGAGATTTTTGGAGTTTTTGATTTGCTGAATGTATGGAAGTGCTGGTGCTACGACTGGTATTTATACAAACTAACTCATCCACTCTTCACAACTCTGCAAGGCCAGTGCATGGAAGGATTAAGTCACTTGCCTAAAGAAGAGGGAGGGGGTTTAAGCCCAGACTCTCTCATGCCAGGGTGCACACTCTTAACCATTTCAGGGAGAAGAAGAGAAAATCAAGACGTGGTGATCATATGGATGAGGAGGGAAAGGGAAGTATAACGGAAGAGGTCCGGGTTCCTGGCTTGAGCCGTTATTGATTGGGGCCTATATTCCCGTTAGGACATGCTGGAGGAGGGGCAGGTTTGTGAGACAACAGCATGAGTCAGAATCAAGGATCCGAGCTTAGTTGAGATGCCACGGTTTGGGCAGTGCTGGCCTGTTGGTGAGAGTTGAACTTGTGAAGGGGCTGCCCTGGACAGGAATGGGCATTGAAGAGAAGAGACGACCTAGGGAAAGCTCTGAGGAACACTCCAAGTTTAGGAACCAGGAGCTGAGCAGCCACACTCGAGAAGCCGGAAAGGAGGCGTCAGAGAAGCAGGAGACAAACCGCAGGTCGAGACCCTACAAAGGGAGTGTCCCCAGATGGAGGCTGTTAGTCACCTTGGTGAGAGCACTGCGTGGAGTGACCGACTGGAGACACATTGCAGTGAGTTTCGTAAATGGGAAAGGAGGAAGTGGAGACAATGCTTTCAAGAAGTTTGATTTTGATGGGTGTGGCCTAAACCTATGAACAAAATATTTAAGTTCACTTCTTCTTTTGCTTTTTTAAGGCCTTTTGATACTTAGTAGGATCCCCGGTAGGGTAGTGGTTATAAGTTCGGCTGCGATCCCTATGGCCAGCAGTTCAAAAACTCCGGCATCTCTGCGGGAGACAGGGTGGGCTTTCTACCCCTGTACACAGTTACAGTCTCGGAAAACTCACAGGGGGTCCCTACGACTCAAAACGGACTCGATGGCAGTGAGTTTGCTTTTTGATGTTTAATATTATTATTCTCTTTTAATTCGCTTTTAAAAGACTTTCTATGGTGAATTGGCTGAAGGTTTTCAGAGCAGATCAGTTGTACATTGAGCCACTCATACACATTTTGTTTCATCTCATTGACTGCAATTCCCACAACGGAACATCACTCATCCCATGTCCTCCTTGTCGTTTGTTTCCTTTCTGAACCTTTCTGAACTTTGTCCTTGGGTAAATGCTGGCCTTTTGATTTCAAGTGGTTGATGAATCTGAGGTGTGTGTACCCGCTAGTGCTATCACCCTCTTTATAGACCGATCTAGTCTTTGGGTGAAAATTAAGCCATGGGGGTGCGTTCACACACACAAACATTTTTTATTGGCACTGCTAATAAAGAAAGGAGCCCTGGTGGTGCTGCCAGGTAAGTGTTAGGCTGTGAACAGCAAGGTCAGTGGTTCAAACCCACAAGGTGAGAAAGATGGAACTATCTAAGCCCTGCGGAGGGCTGTCACAAGTGAGAATCAAGTCTTGGGTAGTGGGTTTGGGGTGGGGTAATAAAAATATTGCTAGACCATATCTATATGATTAAGAGCCCTACATCATTCTGCTTATTGCCTTGTGAAAGTCATTCATTTCGTGACTAACAGGTGACAGGTGCGGCTGTCGGCTCAGAGGAGGCACCAGAGATGCCTCTGGGCCACATTCTGGGCACCCTCTTCCCTCCTCCAGCTTATTTTAGATGCAGCTCTCGGCAGAATCAGGCTGCTCCTGACTGGAAGTGTGAACTCTCCAGGTGGCCCAATGCCTGGTTTGGAGGTTAGAAAATCTTAGGAGATTCCCCATCATTGCACTTTGAATGACTCACTAGGCTACTCTGACCAAGACGGAAAACTTGTACATGACCTTCAGGGGTGATCTTCTCTCAAATAACAGAAGGTCGGTCTGTAAGAGTTTCATCTAAATCGATGGAGCCCTGTTGGCATAACAGCTGCTGACTGAAAGGCGGACGATCCAAACCCACCTGCCACTTCCCCGTGCAAAAAGCCCTGGGAATCCGCCCCCACCAAGATGACAGCTGTGGAAAACCTCTGGGGCAGCCGGACTCTGCCACACGGGGTCACTCTGGGTCTGAGTGGACTCTCTGGCACCCCACCCCCACCCCCGATCTAAAACTACGATCCAAGACGTAGTTCCCCAGTCTGAGCCAGAACCCGAATTTTGTCTCTGAACATTTTCATAGTCCTTTGTAGGACTGGATTTGAAAAGATCATTTAAAACCTTTCATATGAATATGCACCTGCATGAAATCAAAGGACATTCCCACCTTGTGCAGAAAACGATGGTGGTTAAAACAGGCAGAACGATGAACCCTGGTGCGACTGTGGGGGAGAGAAGCCGGTCTGAGTATTAATCCGGCAGAAAACATGAGGAACATAATGGGAACATGTTCACGGTCACTACAAGGGCACTTCCCAGAGTCCAGCTGGATGATGTATTTTGGTTATGAAGCGAAAAGAAAAGCCAGCTCTTCTCTGATGACTTCAGTGCAGGAGGCTTCCAGCTCCAGAGCCAGGACATAACTTTGTCTCAAGAGGTAGGAAATAACTCTTTAAATGACTTGCTAGGCTACCTCTGACTTCACAATCATCTACCAAATAAAGGACTTAAAAATTGCCTCCCAAAGTCTCTTTCCCCCCTATGCACTATCACATTGTCTTTCATTACATAATGCTTAGAAGCATTGTGATACTCCACATACTTTCTTATTTAAATACTACACGAATACTTAGTGAGATTAAACAAATATTCCAGGAGTCAAGGAAACTGATGATCAGCGACAGCTTCAGGAGTTGGTTGTCCAGGCAACCATTCTTTGTGTTCCTGAAGTGTCACTTGAACTTCCTGCCTCCCTGAAAATGGATCAAACTGACCAGGATGAACGAGAAACGGGAATAACTGTCCGGAAATAAATTCGCACGGGGCCATGCTTAATCTGTAGATCTCAGCTTTGTGGGCCTACTCATCCAGATGGCCATTTGAAGCCCAAAAATGTTCCTCAGCAAAAACAGACAGGTGGACGATGGGGTCTGGGGGAGGATGGTAGTGAAATGTGGGCAAGGCGCGTGTTTCTAACATAAAGACAGTCTGTGTTCTCTTTGTGCTGCTCACCTTTGAACTGCTTCTCAATGTAAAATCCACTCATGGTCATGCATACTTCTGTTTTAGGTCTCTGGTGAGAATGTACTGTGCCAATTTTGTACTTCAGCCATCCACGTCAGCAGACATTAAATAGGGAGGAGAGGAAAAGTCGAGCGTCGGTGGCATGCGGGGAAGGGAGTGGGGAGGTCTGCTTTGCTGAAAGCCAGAGTAATGGGTTGTTCTTGGCCTCAACATTCTGCTTATCGATGAAATTTCCATGGACTATTCTAAGAACTTTGTGACATGTACATTCCTCTCTAGGGTAAATTTTTGATAAGCCAAGCAGGTTCCCGGACTAGGGAGAACAGAGTCTGATTGCAGAATACACTCATACCTCTTTCAGTTGTCTAAAAAAAAATGATACATCGAGGCAGTCCTGTTTTATGACCGCATCTGTCAAAATAATTTGAGGGGCTTTCTTTTTAAATAACAATCAAGAGACTTGTTTCTTTTTGTTTGATTGATTTTTACTGTTCTCATGTTGGAGAGGTCGTTAAAATGAATATTTTAGTGGCCCAACAATAAAGGAAAATGACTATTTGTTTGCTCCCATAAAGATTTACAGCCTGGGGAACCCTATAGAGGGACACTGTGAGCCTGCATCAATTGGATGGCAGTGCGTTTGTTTGTTTGTGGAGGCTGAAGGTTCCTTTGAAACAAACTCTAAATGGTTATATTGATAATATCCACCTCAATTGACTTTTCTCCTCTACAATTGGGTGCTTGGAAGGGCTTCAGCAGGCCTGATTTCATCTCTCACAATTACATTTGTAATGGCAAATATGAAAAAAAATTTTTTAACTTATTTTAATAAAAATGTCTCAAGGATAAGTAGCCAAGTCTCGTGAGTGATGTCCAAATATCTTAACGCTCCCTGCCCACCTTATAGCACCTTTTGTTGTTGTACACCCTTGTTGATTCTGACACGGAGTGACCCCATAGAACAGAGTACAACTGCCTCTAGCAATGCCCCTAGGCTGTAATTTTCAGGGGCCCAGTAGGCTACCTGCCCAGAGACCTGCTAGCCAAAAGGTTAGCTGTTAGAACCCACCAATCCCTCCATGGGGAGAAACACGAGGCTCTCTGCTCCAGGAAAGATTACAAGTCTTGTAAATCCAAAAGGGCTGGTCTGCTCTGACCTGTCAAGTCCGTATGAGTCAGAAACTACCAGAGGTGGTGGATTTGAGTCTGGACTCTTTACTGGAATTGTTTGCCAGGTCTTCTCTCCCACAGTGTGACTAGTAGGTTCAACCAGCCAAGCTACTAGGGTCTCTCTCCTATGTCTCTGAGACAATATCGTGACCCCCAGAGAAAGAAGAAATTAGGCCACGGTGATGGGAGTGGGATTATTTCCTCTTCCAGCCATTTTGGTTTAGGAAATCATGGGAGCAGAGGAGGGGGGCTTGTAAGATTTCTGGTGTTGATTCTGTGCACCTTATTGTCAAACTATGAAAGCCCTCCAGAGGCAGACTTGGAAAACATTCCGGGGGTGGGGGCTGGGGGGGTGGCGCTGGGCTCAACAACCAACGCGATGCCATCTTATTAATAACAACGGCGTCCCCGGATGGCACAACTAGTTAAGCTGTGGCTGCGACACCTTGGAAGAAAGGTCTGGTCATCTACTTTCTGCAAGGCTGCAGTGGAGTCTCTTCCGACTCAGAGTGCAGTATAACTGCCCACACAGGGTTTCCTGGGCTGGCTGTCCATCTCTAGGGAGGCCGACTGCCACATCTTTTCCTTCAGAGTAGCTGGTGAACTCGAGCTCGCGACCTTGCAGTCATCGGCTATGGAAAATCTTAGGAAGCAGTTCTACTCTGTGACACACGGGGTCACCACGAGTCAGAGTCAACTCCATGGTGACTGGTGATACTAGTTGTTCGGAGAGGTTGTGTGTGTGTGTGTGTGTGTGTGTGTGTGTGTGTTGAATAACAATACTGACAATGCCAACAGCTTGGCACTCAGAACCCCCAGGGTGCCGGGTTCAGTGCATACCTCCCCAGGGCTGGCCTGTGTGGGGTGCGGCCAATGGTCACACGTTCTTCAAAATCTGCCCCTGTGGGGCAGGAAGAAAAAGTAGTGCTGTGGCCAGCCTGGGAGAGGGCGCGGCTTGGGCCGGCAGGCTGCGGGGCCCCACTGTCCTCCCGCAGCGTCCAGGAGGACCTGAGGGTTGCCCGCCGGCTCCCCGCGCTTCCTGGGACCGCGGGTGGCGAGGCTGGGCGAGGCTAGGCCGGCACCCAGCGGAGCCCGTAGTTACCTTGAGGATCAGTCCTTTCTTCCCTGCCAGAGTCTAATGGGGCCCAAAGACCGGGCCAGCGGGCAGGTCTGGGGCCCAGCGCCGCGCATTAATCGCCGGGAGGCAGTCGCCGTCCTTCGGGTCCTCCTCTCTTCGTCCCTCCCCTACCAGCCCGTGCCTCCTCCTCCTCCTGCTCCAAGGAGGCAGCTTTCAGCCACCGGGCCGCGCTTTCTATGGGCGGAGGC